CTACGACGACCCTTCAGATAGTCTGCATGGGCCGTCTGAGTCCTGTTAGGGGGATTCCCCCGCCCGCCCCCCCCCAAAAAAAAAGGACCTTTTGCATATGGTGGGGGGTGACGTGGTAGGGGGGGTAGGCCACGGTTTTTTTTTTTTTTTTTCACTTTTGGGGTTCCTTGAACGAGGCGCACCACCTCGTAGTCCTTAATGTGCACGCGCGCCCCCTGGGGTCGCGTTCAATTTTTTAGCGCCACGTGGAGTGCAGCGCGTTTGAACGCGGCCCCGGGGGGTATGAACGCGCACGTTTGAACGTGAACGCGCGTTCAGCGCGTTCAACCGGTTACACAGCTGGCAGCGGAGAAGATGGCAATGGAGGCCGACTTAGCGGCAGTCCAGAGAAAGAACTTCGCAACATACAATGACTTCCTACGGGAGTTTACCGTGGTAGCCCTAAGGATCCCGGGGGTTACCGACCGCCGGGACCAGATAATGAGTACGTACTTCCTCGGGCAGTTCTCCGAGTTCGACAAGGGCAAGATTATGTCGGCTTACCAACAGACGAGCAAGTTTGTAAACACTAGGGATGTTGATTTTAGCACAGTAACGGATCTGGCTGAGATGACAGTAGTGACCGAGACATTGGCCTTGCTTAAGGAAGGGGAGGTCATAGATCTTACTGGTAGGACAAACGACAAAGTAAAAAAGGGGATTGAAAGTCTACATTAACGGGTGCACGGAGTCGACAACAAGATTGAAAAGGTGGAGAACGCGCTACAGGTTATGCAGGCGCAAGTATCCCAACCCATCCTCCCTCCCTAGGAAGCCGTAGTTCCGCCAGGAGTAGCCAATCGAGGATTCGGACGGAGAGATCCCGCTAATGAGCAATGCAAGTACTCCACTTCGGTGGGGCATTTCGTGCGCGCATGTCCAAAACTCAACCATGATATATTAAAAAGGAGATGTATCAGGTCATTAAAGAGATAAATATTCGGACCGCAGGGAGAACGGGTGAATTGGAACTTGCCAGGGGGGATGCGACGAGCCATTATCATGCTCAATGGGTTAGAGATAGCAACAGTAGAGGCTGAGCCGGTGGTCGATATCATCTGGGATCAACTTCGGGGCCGCGGGCCGCAGGTCAACTTTATTTTGGAAAGCGACGGACGCGATAGGGTGAACGCGAGCACTCGACTAGGGACGACTGGGAGAATTATCCATGACACCGTGATGGAGGAGGTTGCTGGAAGCTCCGTACCCCAGGCAAAGCCCGAGGCCGGGGAACCAAAGAAAGTCTATGGCAAGCCTAGGGAAGAGGAGCCTACAGACAAAGTTACCGCTGCTAAAAAAAAGTTTAGGTATCAAATCCCGATTATAACCATGCCTGAGATCGATGACACCCTTAGCAAATTACTAGGAACCATGGTATCAGTGTCGTTTCAGACCATGCTGCAGGCCAGCCCTAGGTTGCTTAAAGAGTTTAGACAACAGTTGACGCGACAGCGAGTAGAGATAGACAAAAACCCCGAATCATCGGAAAGGGAAGGGGAGGAGGAAGCTCTGCAAGAAGTCGCTAACCTTCAGAGGAGTCGCGGAGATTTGAAGGATCTCGATAAAACCTTTGCGGACATCCGCCTGAGCTTGCCTGACCGAGAAGGTGGCGAGGTCATGAGGGTACCTCCCGGAACAAAGCTCAGCCTTCCATGCGTTACCCGTAGAAAAGTTGAAAATCCAGATCGGGACTCATCATACCGACACCTTAGTAGACGGGGGAGCAGAAATCACTCTCATAAGGAGAAATTTCGCAACAATCACGGGCTGTACGGTAAATAAGGAAGTAACAGGGAGCATCCGGGGAGCCGGTGGGAAAATTTTGTTCATTGGGTATGTCACGAAATGCGCAGTCAAGGCAGGAATCAGGGAGTCGATCTGGTCGTTTCAGCGGATGACCGTAATGGACCACGACATAATCCTCGGGGGGCCGCGGTGCGCAAATGTAGAAATGATAGGCATGCACTTGCACGATGGCACGTACATGGTAGACATAGAGGACCCAGTAATCGGTCGGGGAGAGCTCCTCCGACTCCTTGGAACGGGAGGAGACCCTCCGAAGGGGAAGTTAGCAACATGGTCACCATCATTCGAAGACAGCGCGCGGAAGGGGGCTTTTGCGCGGATGGAGGACATGAGAGAAAGGGTAGAAATCATGATCGAGGAAGCGTTCAATAAGAAGGAATGGATCAAGATGAGCCTACCCCAGAAGAAGAGAAGGCAGGAGGACGAAGTCTTAGGTGTTATGGTGGCAAAAAGAGAATCAGAAGTCGAACTTGGGGCCAGCCTGCCCAAGCATAAAAAAATGCGCATGGAGGTACCCAAGGTCGCACTCGAGATTCCCGATTTGTTACAGCTCTTCAAGGTCATCAGATACCACAACGTAGGAGTGGACTCGGCGGCATTGGTCAAATTCGAAGAAGAAGTGCAAAAGGGATATTGTCTGAATGAAAAATTAGTCAGTATTGAACCACGAATCGTAGGGGTGACGAGGGTAATCCCGACCGTTCATTTTTTAGGAGAAAGATCCCGGAAGTACAAGCCGTTAGGGAAGAAGGCAAAACCGGTCTCGATCCTGCTAGAGACATCAAAGGAAGAGGTTATGGAGAAGGAGGAAGAAGTCCTTCGAGTGATCCAAGAGAGGAGAGCGATGGAAGGGCATCGAATACCAGATGAGGTAGTTGATACAATGAAGATAGGGGTAGACGGATTCTTAACGGAAAAAGAAACCCGCCTAATCAAAAATATCTGCCAAGAGTTTCACATGACATTTGCCTTTAGTGATCACCACAAGGGCAGCTGGACGCGAAGCTGATTCCTCCGGTCAAAATCCACACGGTAGAGCATGAGTGCTGAAATGACAAGGGTCCGTTCTATGAATTTGGGATAGCGGGGGAAGTGACAGACCTTCTTTGAGCAAACATGAACTCCTTCGTCGTAGAACCTACGGCGTCGCCATACGCGAACCGGTGGTTCGTCTTTCGGAAGCACAACAAGACGCTGAAATGGATTTAGGACCTGCAGAAGTTGAATGTGGTAACCCTCCGAGATGCTGGCTCACTGCCTCAGGCCGATTTATTAGCAGAATCGCACACCGGCCGGAGCATTTACTCCCTGATAGATTTGTACTCAGGGTACGACCATCTTCCATTGGATGTTCGGGACAGGCCGTACACCGCAATGCAAACCCCGTAGGCCAGTTGCAGATGCATGTGACCCCTATGGGTTTCACAAACGTGGTAGCCGAAGCGCAACGTAGAATGCTCGCCGTAGCCGGGAACATGTTCCCAGAGAAGTGTGAGCCCTACATCGATGACAACCCAATCAAAGGCGCGCAAGAGAAGGACGAGACGGAAGTCCAGCCAGGAATCCGAAGATTTGTATGGGACCATCTACAGGACATCAAGGACTTACTCCGCCGGTTCCTAGTATACAACATCACGGCTAGCGGACCAAAGAGTATTCTAGCAGTACCGAACGTAACTATACTAGGATTTCACTGTGGTCCTTACGGTAGGAAGCCAGATCCGGCGAAGACATACAAATATCACAGTGGTCAACACCCCTGCGCACGACAACAGAGGTAAGAGCATTCCTAGGCGTGGTCGGCTTTTGAAGGATCTTCATTAAAAATTTTGCCAAGATTGTTGAGCCTATCCGGACCATGATTAGAGAAGAAGGGACCATGGACTGGACGGAGGAGCGAGAAGGAGTCGTCCAAGCCCTCAAGGACATACTGACATCGAAGCAAGTCGCCTTGTCTGCACCTTGTTTTAATGACGAAGTGGGACGACCCTTCATCCTAGAAATGGATGGAGGACTCTTGGTCGTAGGAGGCATGCTGATTCAAAGGGATAAGGAAGGGAAAGAGAGGCCAATTAGGTTCGAAAGTAGAACCCTGAACTCCGCAGAACGGTGGTACTCACAGTTCAAGAAGGAGGTCCTAGCCATCTTGCATTGCCTGAAGACCTTCCAGGCCTACCTATTTGGGAGGCGGTTCATCCTTAGGATCGATCCGACGAATGTTGCAGGGGCCTTAAAGAATTACAGGCCTATAGATCCGACGATGGGGAGATGGGTATGATTTATCTGGCAGTTCGATTACAAAATCGAACGGATTGCGGAAATCAGAAACAAGGCCGATGGGCTGAGTCGGGTTTGCATCACTCCCGAAGGGGTGGAGGATGCGGGGCCCATAGACGCACTCCTTGAATACGAAGGAAGAACTATTGCGGTGGATAACGAAATGATGGGCGAAGGATGCGCGTCGGGAGAGCTGTTGATCCGGACCTTGGAGAAAGGGGCACCTGCCGTAGTAGCAGAACTTAGAGAAGGACCAGTCATCACTCGAGGTCACAAAGAGGAGAAAGATTTATGGGGAGCAATAGTACGACCGAAGGAGGAACTAATAGTAATGGCGGTTGAGAGAGGTCGGGAAACCGTGATGAGCTTAGTGGAATCTTGGGAAAGGAAAGAGTTGCGATGGATGGTAAACTAGATGCAGGAAAGAAAGGATAAGGACCAGGAAGGGAAAAAGGTTTTCTATGCCCAGATATACAAAGGGATCTTTCGGGAGATCGGGTTGTTGCTGGTAAAAAACAAACAACCCATGGAAGTCAGTATTAAAGCAAGGGAGGAGGCCGAAAGGTACGTCCTAAGGGGCGGCCATCAGTTCCGAAGAGAGGAAGGTGCTATGCCTAGAAGAGTTGTGTGCGCAAGATCTAGGCAGTTAGACGTTGTCCAGGCAATGCACGACGAATTAGCAGGAGGGCATCGATCGTCCACTCTATTATTGGTCAGGCATGGCAGGCATGGTCGCCATGTACTGCCAGACTTGCCTTGTCTGCAAGGAACGAAGCTCGACACGTGTCTTCAAGCCGCTTAGACCAACGAGGGTGCTAGGGCCGGGATATCTGGTCCACCTTGACCTTGCGGTCGCCTGTATCAACAGATGGGTACAGGTATATCCTGGATGCGCGAGACAACTTGAGTGGGTTCGTGGAGGCGATCGCACTCAAGAAAAAGACAGGAAGAAGTGAAGCGGACTGGATAGAAAACTTCTACTTGAGGCATCCTTTCGTCAGGAGGTTTATAGCGGACAATGAGACAGAATTTGTGAACCAAGAAGTACTGGGAATGCTTAAGAGACTCTGCGTACCGATCAAACTCATCGAGCCGTATCACCCGGAGACCAATGCACCTGTGGAAAGAGGGCACCGAACCTTAAAGAACACGATTGCGAAGCTCGCAGCGGACAATCTGGAAAGCTGGCATAGGTATCTCAAGCAGACTGTCTTCTCAGAGCACATGACACCTAAGAGGACAATGGGATGTATTCCAGCAGAACTTTGGTACGGAAGAGAGATCGACTTTTTCGTCGAAGCCTTAATACCTACCTGGAACAGGTTAGATGATGATCCGCGAATGACCACGGAAGAGTTAATTGAGGCGAGGTGTCAACAAGTCCTTAAGAACGAAGAGGTGATGGAAGACATCGCCAACCGAGTACTAGACAGCAGAATGAGGGACAAAGCAAGGTGGGACCAGGTTAAGAATGTCAGAAAGGAGCCACTTCATGTGGGGGAGACAATATTGCTAAGGAACTCGGCACTAGAAAGTACTTTGTCTGGACAGCTGGGGAGAAGGTTCAAAGGCCCCTATCGGGTCGCCAAGCGGGTGGGACTGAACACCTTCGAACTGGAAGATTTGGATGGAATTGGATTGAAAGGACCCTTCCCGGGGCAACGATTGATCAGGTTTCTAAGTGGGGACCCAGTGGGACAATGGCTTCAGGAGGCCGAGGATAAGGAAACTGAGGGGCTACAACCTAAGGACTGACAACGGCCTTGCCCACACTATGGTTCTGTCTCTGACTGCGTCCGTGGGACTGTCATTTTTTTTGGGGCTGGGGCAATGGTTTGGACTGACTGAGGTTGGAAGGCGGGATGACTTGGGAGTTTGCGGTAACGGGTTTGTGTGACAACGGGAAGGATTGTCGGGAGCATTGTATCATAGTTTTTTACAGGGAAATAATGGGATCATCACAAACGGGGCATTGGCATAAGAGAGGGGAATGTATAATCGTGGCATGATGCGAAGGATACTGGGAGCATTCGGGACGGGGAGCTGCCTACCGGACTGGGGAAACGGGTGTATGAGGGGTTTTACTGGTGTTGTTTTGTTATACAGGACCTAGAAGAAAAAAAACACAAGAAAAAGTAAAAATGGAATTCGGCAACGAGATTGACAGCGGGGCGATCAACAGGCCTACCGGAGGGGAAGAAGCGGGACCGAGTCGAGGAAGGAGGACGGCAAAGAGGAAGTTGTACATAGGGCTCATATCTGGGCGAGTGGTAGGTAGGGGTGTGAGAAAGCGCGTGTGTAAATGACCCTCGCCCCTCCGGAAGGAAGGGAGAAGGTATATATATCTCATTTGGGAGTGAGAGCGAGGAGGAAATGGCAAGTGTGGGAGAACGGGGCAATGCGGATATGGGAGACAAGGCTCAGGCCTCTGACGAGGAAGAAGCCAAGAGGTGCGAACAACGTGAGTCGTGGCATGGGGAAAGCAAAGGGAGACATGACATGTGCGACAAGCATGAGGATGGGGAGGAGAGAAAGGAAAACCCGCTTGAAGGACGGAGCGGCCACGGCAGTTGTGAAGGGAGGTATCCAGACGTTGAAGGAGAGAGAGGACAAAGATTCTCTATAGCTACGATCCAAAGAACTTGATGGGCGGGTACAGCCCCAGACAGACGGAAGAAGAGGAGGACGAGGAGGAGGAAGTGCAGGAGGTTATAGGAATCAGCAGTGGGGATGAGAGGGATGAAATCTCGAGGCCTAGAGAAGAGAGGCGGCCCCCGATACACCAGTCGCACGAGGGAGTCTTCAGATGGGAGGATGAGTTTGGGTCAACGCCCAACCATTGGTTTCAGCAATGGCTCAGTGTGATCAAACATGAGTGGATTATCAAGCTCGTGAAGGTAGGGGTGGTGGTCACACCATTGGATTTCTACAGCGATATGGAGTTACGAGAGATTGCAAGAAGGAGAAGAGAAATCATGGCCTCCGGCTTCGGGGTTAAAGAGCCAGCAGAAAGACAGGATGGACAAAAGGCCGAGCGAGTTGAGGCACAGGACAGCAATAGGGATTAGATGTTGATCAAGCGTTGAACAAGAATCCTGCTTTTTCATTTGCAAAATATTGGAACGACAAGAATGTGTATAGTATGAGTAAGCTTATTAAAGATGAATGATGAGAGGGTCAGCTAAGACTGTGTCACGATAAGTAGAAGATACCATTTTGAGGCTACTTTCTGGATGAACTACCTTTGAAAGCGGGTACACGAGGCATGGGATGAGACCGGTTGGGAAGGGTGTATTGTGAATTTTGGATGAAATGAGGATTGTGCTTTTGAGAAGAGAAACTTTGAGTACAGATTGACGAGCAAAGCAAGGCATTGAATGTTGGTCGAGTACAAGAGAGGTTAGGGAACCTATGGGTTAAGGGGCGTAAAGAACACTCCTTCCCTAGGAGCCTAATCCAACTGAGTCATGAATGAGTCTGAGAATAACCAAGAACTGAGAAACCAGAAAGAGTGAAAATGGAGGGGGCGCTCCTGTCTTTTGCTATGATTGAATGGCCAGGTGGGCTAGTGCTGCTTGGGGTCGCAAGCCCAAATCGAGTACTAGACGCTAAGTCGGATGTATGCATGAATAGTACATTGCTTTGAGAATGGATGAGGGAAACCGCATGCAGAAAACTGAAAAGAGATGGCCACCTTCTAACCTCCGAGACAGAAATGGGATCCGTGTTCTCGAGGCCCACCCCCTCGGGCGCTAACATTGAGAATGAAAAGGAATGACCCTAACCAGACTGTTCGACTTGAGAATGGAAAGGAATGACCCTAACCAGGCTGTTCGACTTGAGAATGGAAAAGAGTGACCCTAACCAGGCAGTTCGACTTAAGAATGGAAAAGAATGACCCTAACCAGGATGTTCGATTTGAGAATGGAAAAGAACGACCCTAACCAGGTTGTTCGGAAATGACCCCTGACAAGGGTCATTTCTTTTGAAATGGGCACTGGGGTCCCCTGCATAACTGATTGAGGAAGGTTGATTGAGAAATGTTGATTGAGAATGAGCTGGAATGAGCAATGAGAGATGGAAAAGGTTGGTGGGTCGGTCATTGAAATAGCCATGAAGATGGATGAAAGAGAATGATGCGTTGAAAAGAGAAGGGCAGAATAAGGAAGACTGAGCCTTAAGTCGAGAGGGGCATGGACCGTCATAAGGAATGGATATTGGGGAATGTGAAAGTTGAGAACTGAAGATGGGCCGACGGGTCGACCCTTGAAAAGATGGCTATTGAGAAAGCGACCGTCAGAGCGGCCACAAGGGGTGGCCCTGTTGATGGGAGGCTGTCGGACCAACCATGAGAATCAGCCTTGGAAATAACATTGGATTAAGTGTTTGAGAATTGGATATTGCATTGCATAGTCAGGGGACCCTAGACAATTTGATGAAAGGTCGTCGGGCCGACCATGGAAATAGCAAGAGATTGAGTTTTCTTTTTTTTTCTCTAGTCTCAGGTCTCAACATAAGGGGGATAGCGATGCCTACATCGCGACCCCACGACCTCTACCCGTCAAGGAAAAAGTCTCAGCGCGACCTATTCCTCATAAGGGAAAATAAGGGTTGAAGGATCATGGCATCGTTCTTTTTGATTGATGCTGGTCGTCTGGAACTAACTCCGACAACGAGCTCTAGTCGGGAAGTTCGAACTACGCCTCATGTTGAGAACCTAAACGTCAAGGGCGTGAAGCCAAACGGGCGAGAGAGCCATTCTTTTTCCTAAGTCTCATTTTTTCTCCCCAACCACACGCCATGTCGTAAGAGGGGCGGTGCGACCATTTGGAATAGACCAAGGTTGCTCGCATTAAGTTGAGCAGCACTGTCCAGAGGGAGGGGTCAGGTGTGGTACCAGGTAGAAGCCGCAACCACCACAGGGCGAGTGACACCGCCCTGCCGGATCATTACAAACGTTCCGGAACTAACCACAAGGTCTTTGTAACTGCACTCGCAAACTAATTGAGAGCCCCAACTCTCTTGAAAGGAAGAGGCCGGATCCAAGAAAACACCACTCAGGAGGAACGATTCGCGAGAAAGTCTTTACGGCAAGACGGGGTCCTAGGAGGTTTGGACTAGACCAACCTGTCGGATGTGAGGTGGCACACTGGCACCTCAGCAATGACGCTCGTCTCGTAACGGCAGAAGGTCGGACTAAGTAGAAGGATGAGGTGTTACCTGCCAAGGAAGGACTGATCACCCTTCCTTCTAGGAGCAGGTGGGTCGTTGTTCTTGACTCAGTTGGTGGGCCAAGGTCTGCGTTGCTCCAACTGAGAATCAGTCGTGCGATGGGGACATCACATTTTGAGTGGGGGGAAGGTGTGCCATCTACCAATGAAAAAGCGTGCAAAAGAGAAGATTACCATGAGCTCAAAAAACTGTGTAATTGACTTTGCGCAGGCTTGAAAAAAAGTATGGCAAGATGTCCAGAATAAAAATGCTTATGTAATTGACTTTGCGCAGGCTTGAGAGAGGGTCTGGCAAGATGTCCAGAAGAAAAATGCTTGTATAATTGACTTTGTGCAGGCTTGAGAAATGGCCTGGCAAGATGTCCAGAAGAGAAACGGATGAGTAATTGACTTTACGCAGGCTTGAGAAAAGGCCTGGCAAGATGTCCAAAAGAGAAACGGATGAGTAATTGACTTTGCATAGGCTTGAGAAAAGGTCTGGCAAGATGTCCAGAAGAGAAATGGATTAGTGATTGACTTTGCATGGGCTTAAGAAAAGGTCTGGCAAGATGTCCAAAAAAGAAATGGATGAGTAATTGACTTTGTGTGGGCTTGAGAGAAGGTCTGGCAAGACGTCCAGAAGAGAAAGGCATGTGTAATTGGTTTTGCATAGGCTTAAGGAAAGGTCTGGCAAGACGACCAGAAGAGAGATATATGTGTAATGGACTTTGCATGAGTTTGAGAAAGGCATGGCAAGATGCCAGAAGAAAGATGCGTATGAAATGGACTAAGTAACGCGTATTTTAATTGAGCCTCGGCACAAGAAAGGTCGAATGAGGGTGACATGCATGCGAAATTAGCAGGGCTAGAGAAAGCCGGGTAAAATGACATGGGAAAAATACATGTGAATTTGGCTAAATATGAGATTGAGGAAAGAATGACGGGAGGCGTGGATTGCACGGGCCGAAAAGCCGAGTAAAAGAAGCGCTGAGGGCAACCGGGGTCAGAAAAGGGGCGTGGTTGGCACGGGGTGGATGGAGGAACAGCAAAAGGGCGTTTGGGATGACAATGCACGGGGAAAAGACGGGGCAACAAGAAAAGGGAAGATGAAAGAAGGATTGATGCTCTGAGGGTGATGAATGAGACGAAAGGAGGATTGATGCTCTAAAGGGGATGAACGAGACGAAAGAAGGATTGATGCTTTGAGGGTGATGAACGAGACGAAAGGGGTTTTGATATTCTCAGAGTGATGAA